GGCTCTGGTGTGCTGGAAGGCAATACGGTAAAGGATCCCGAGAGGCTGCAGCCCTTGGGGTTGGGAGCCAAGGCTCCAAGTTCAGACTCCACCTTAACAATCTGCAGCTTTGGAGCAATGGTGTACTCACCTCGGACAGGCATCCTCCTTAACAACGAGCTACTGGACTTGTGCTGGAGGCATGTAGAAGGTTCCGCGGTCACTCCTCCGCCTGGTGAGAGCAAGGCACCCCTTGAAGAGAGAAAGGAGGGTGGGTGGGCAGCCAACCCCTGGGTGGGTCACCCCCATCACTGAGCACTTGTTGGCTTAGCAATGCATGAAGGAGCCGAGGGGCGGGTGGTACTCCTCGAGGGTGTGGGTGATGCTTGTTGGTCCCAGTTCCAGGTGAGCGCCCACCATCTTGCATGGTTCCCTCCATCCTGGTCAACAAGGCCCAGGGATCCAAGCTGGTGATTGGTGGGGCTGGCGGGGAGCTCATCATCTCTGCTGTGGTCCAGGTGAGTCTGAGGGTTCTCGGCTAGAGTGTTCCCTCCCTGGCAAACTCCCTGGGGTGGGGATGGGAGTGTTGTGGTGTGATGGCCAGTGCCTCCTCCTTCCCTGTATCCTTTTATTTCTTCTTCCAGACCATCATGAATAAGCTGTGGCTTGGCTTTGACCTGACAGAAGCCATTGCAGCCCCCATCCTACATGTGAACAGCCAGGGCCACGTGGAGTATGAACCCAAGTTCAACCAGGTGAGGCTGAGGTTCCCACCTGCTTCCTGAAGCCCATGTTGCTCAATGTCCCCTGTAAAAAATTCCAGTAACTTCCTGGGCCACGGAGGGACGCTTCACCTTCAGGGACCACAAGGAGTCGAGAAGCTCCTCGGGGAAGACAATAGGTGTGTCCCATGGCATCCAGGGCAGAGAGCGGGCCGTTGCCTGAGCTTCTCCTGGGCTGACGACTTCAAAATGTTGTTCTACCGAGCCGGGCACTGGAGGCACACGCCTTTAATCCCACCACTTAGGAGGCAGAGGCAGGTGGATCTCTGTGAGTTCCAGGTCAGCCTGGTCTACAGAGCGAGTTCCAGGACAGCCAGAGCAATACAGTGAAACCCTGTCTTGAAAAACCAACGGGGGAAAAAAAAATCTGTGTACACCATTTCCAGGAAACTAGAAAAAAAAAAGAAAAACCAACGGGGGGAAAAAAAAATCTGTGTACACCATTTCCAGGAAACTAGCGTTCCTGGCTGTGGCTAGTCAGATGCTGCTTCCTGGCGATTTGTTCCCTCATATAGTTTGAAACTCGCATTTGAGAGTTTATTCATGAAAGAGCGTACTTTTCCTGTGGGATTTTGTTGTTCTGGAGCATTGGGGGTCATGGTGTTGTTGCTTCCAAACATGTGACTCTCCCACAAAAGCCCCGGAGCAGGATCAGGGACTGAAGTCTCTTTCCTGGCTACCACCTTCCTCCCCAGAAACTTTGCTTTCTGGCAGTTTTCTGAAGCTAATTGGATGCACTGTGCTGGAGCCCATGTAAAGATCGGCAACTT